TGGGACCATTGGTGGGGTGAATGWGTATATAAGCGCGGCGAAGAATGCGATCTTCGCCTTCTTGATTCGGTGCGACTATTTGTGAGTGAAAGAGTGTAATAGGAGTGTACTTAAGATTTCTAACTATTGTTACTTACTTTCCTTTTCTATCTCTTTATTACTATATTAAACCTTAATAATTAAACATTTGTTCTATTATAATAAATACTTATATTTTAAACTTAAATAAATCTTACAGTTATAATCAGTTAATATGGAAAATAACTCCAAAAATTTTCCCATGTAACTCTAAAGTTGTTGAAATAGCGGCTTACATTGTAGCTGGAATGTTTAATAAAGGTTCAAAATCATTATTGTGTTTTATGAGTGCATTAGAACTTTCATTAGTCACCGCAGCTCATGTTTATGTCGAAAAAGAGGACGCAGAGCGTGTGATGATCTCCGACGCGAGAGCGCATGGGAGCACGCGAGAAGGAAAAATTGCTCGATGACAACACCAGCAGGACTTATTAAAAGCTACCGATACRGCGAAAGGTCTCTCTTATTGCTCTGCAATAGATGATACTATGTAAATTAAAAAAAAAAATTTTTAACTATGTGTAAACTACTTCTGAAACTTTTAACGCGTTTTTTTCAAAACGTTGCTTCAAAGTCGGTGAACACGATTTCTCAGAAATGACTTATCAGATAGGTCTCCAATTTTTAAACAATCTTCTTAGATAAGCTCCTAAGGTATTAAGCGGAAAGAAAAAAATTTTTTAAACTTATTACTATATATTTTTTTATCAATTTGGAGCGAAAACTTTAATCAAAGACGAAAGATTTTTTCAAATAGACGCCATTTTGTCAAAAATCAAAATTTTTATTATTCCTTCCGTTTAATACCTGCATTAATCTATACTTTAAAAGAATTTACCAGATTTTTTGATTTCAAGTAATCCAAACCGCTGAAATGGTGCACACCGTCAAACACCTTTTTTTGGAGGTCCTTCGGGAGATCATCTGCAGGAGCGATGCACATCAATATTTTTTAATGATCGACGCGCTATTGTATTCCTAAAAGAAGGATCTATTTRAATTATCATCAATTGTAATAGATAACTGAAAACTGTTTCTATAAAAAATTCATAAAAAGACGTCTTTTTTGAGCCTCGCCACTAGGTATAACCACTTAAAGGAGAATTTTCTCCTGAGATCCGGAGTTTCGCGATGACTCTGCATTTTTACTCAACCAAAGCATAGTCTTTATGGCTGTTTCCTTGAATGATAGTTGGAAGGTCCAGATAGAGTATTTTTTATTTCGTTTATTTGATAGTAAGTAAAGAGCGAATCTAATAAAGTTAGCGTTGAAAGAATTGCATGAAATTGATTGTACAGTTTATTCAATAACGTTTGATGGAGCTGCCTTAAACATTAATATGTGTGATTGTTTAGGTGCTAATTTAATATATGGCCCAAGTTTTYAAACTTATTTTACTAATCCATTCACCAACGAAACATGTTATATATTTTACGATTTGTGCTATATGATCAAGTTAGTTAAGAAATAGCCTGGCGTTATATAAAAAAACTATAGAAATTACTGACGAAAGAAGGCTTGAGAATGGCCAATAAATTAACAAATAAATTTATCAATTATTACAATTTCAAAATGAATGTAAAACTGGCGATACAAACATTGAGTAACAGTGTATACTGTTCTCTCCTTTTTTTACAAAAAATCGATAATGACGAGGTACAACAAGTGTTTGCGAAATCTCAGACTACTGCTATATTTTATAAAACATTTTGTACGATCCGATAATGCTTCCGCGCGATTTCCTAAAAGAACGATGCATRGAAAGGGAATTTTTCTAATTGCCGGACGTAAAGAGATTATCGGTATTAACGACGTGAATTAAATCAAGAAGCATATTTCAGCGATTCTCTAGTTACACGYGATTATTAAAAATTGTAACTCGATGCTGACGATGGCTTAAAACTAACWCATATAAGGGARAATTGTYTACCGCAGAAATAACAGAAACGGAACAACGCGTTTTTTAAAATCGTGCAAGACTTACAATGTCACGCCGAAAGAGAAAGGTTGAAAACAGCGGGGGGAGTCAAGAGCGCAAGGCTCGCTGCGTTAAATCCGATTCTTGACGAAGAAGGTTTAATTTTAGTGGGGGGGTCGAGTGCGGAACGCAAATTTAAGTTTCCACGAAAAATATCTGGTATTATTACCCTCACATCACCACGTCACCGATCTCATCCGAAAGCTCCATGAACAAAACTTTCACGCCGGTATACAGACTACCCTCTATGCCCTTCGACAACGTTTTTGACTCCTCGACGGTAAGAATCAAGTGCGAAGAATCGTACGTCATTGCGTACATTGCATTCGATTCCGTGCATCCGGCATCCAGTATAAAATGGGGAATTCACCAAGCCCGCGAGTGCAGGAAGCAACTGCGTTCTCCCACGTCGGAGTAGATTTCTTCGGTCCAATCTGCGCGAAAGAAAAGAAGTACCGTAATAAAGGTCGCGTTAAAATATACGGGTGCATCTTCCTCTGCATGACYATCCAGACTGTACACATCGAACTAGTAAGCGATCTGACTACAGATGCCTTTTTGGCCGCTTTCCGGCGGTTTGTAAGTCGAAAACTATTCTAACTCACGTTTATTCTGATAATGGAACCAACTTCGTCGGGGCTAATAACCAGTTAAAGAAACTGTATGCCTTGCTCGAGTCGGACGAGTATAAGGCGAAGATCCATGATTTCGCTGTAGATTGTAAAATCTCATGACCTTTCAATCATCCCCTGTTACCTTATTTCAGAGGTCTGGGGGAAATTGCAGTCAAATCTTTCAAACATCATTTTAGACGAAACGTGGGCGAACTGCTTTTCGCATACGAAGAAGTAGACCACATTCATTATCAAAATCGAAGCTATTTTAAATTAACGCCCGTTAAGCCTTATTTCGTCAGATTTAAATGACGCAACCATACTAACGCCTGCACATTTCTTTTAGATTAAAGGAACGTCTACGACATTGTCGAAGGAGAATCATATTAAGACTCCAGCTAATCGATTGTCTTCATGGAAACACATTCCAAAAAAAAACGCTAGAAATGGACCCAACCCTAGCATAAAATCAGAGGAATAAAACCGTCATGCTCATTGACAAAATTCAACTACACACGAGATGACCGTGAAGACGGTTCATAGAATTGTCAAGCACAACGCGTCAACTATTGGTCCATTGTTAAACCATTCTTATTTTTATATTGTCTTTAAGACACAACTATTTTCTTGTACGTACGAGAAGGTCGCCTGGCCAGCGATTAACCGAGAATGCTGACCAAGTCAGCAGAGATACGCTGAGTGATTCAGCGAATACGTCCAGCGTTATATCATAAGCAATCAAATAAACATGTTCAATAACTTATACAACTAGCGGTAAACTTAACTGATTCAATGACCTAGGTCGAAAGTATTGTAAATCGATGATAAYAAGCGCACRACACAACACATGTATTAAGAATATCATTGATCGTTACACGCTCAACGGGGGGAGTATGTACGATCCGAAAGGATC